GGCGCGGCTCGGGCAGCGGCCCGCACCGGGCAGCCTCGGGGCTACGGCAGAGCTGCTGCTCCCCCGAAAACCGCCGGGCTTCTCATATGAGCAAAACGTTTTCAGCTGCCGGCCCTAATTAGAAGCAGCTACTATATAGCTTTGTCTCTAAAACTACCGCAGAAGATTGGCTAACACTGGACTGTATTTGTTTCAAATAGGAAGAATTGGCAGCAGCGAGACGAGCAGTGTCTGTCTCGCGTTAGGTCTTTTCTTACAGCTGCCCTCTTCCTCCGAAGGCCCTGTGGCTGTGCCGAGGAGGGCAGAGAAGGGGCTTCTCCCGGGGGAGCGCCGGAGCGGAGCGCAGCGGTGTCTGCTCGCACTGCTGGGGTGTTGCATCTCCTCTGTCAGGTTTCCGCTCTGGCTGGAGCTAACACTGATCATGGGAATGCTTAGACATAAAAAAGAATAGCACCAAGGAGGGTTTAACGTCCCCGCTTTAAATGCCGCCTGCCCTCCATTTATTTGCTTTTAAAGACTGCGAAGCAGAGACTTTTGTGCTACGAAAAAAGAAAAATTACCGAAAGCTAAACGTGACAGCTTGAAGCCTGGTCCAGAAACTCTTAGTGTGGAGCCAGCATGATAGGTTGTTTAGCAGTGCGGGGCTGTTGGTCCCTAGAGGAGCGAAGATGCCGCAGCGAGACGAGCCCGAGGAGCCGGGGCAGCGGTGGCGCTGGGTGGGGCGGGGGCTGGGAGCGCCAGCGGAGCTCCTCCAGCCACCTGAATTAACTTGTGTCTGATTATGCAAAATGAAGATGTAATAGCATCACGTGTACTACGTGGAGAAGCCTGATTTAAAGGTATTTAGGGGTTGCTTTAGTGTTTTGCATAGTAGCTTGTACTTTACTAGAATTTGTAGGCACGATGAGAATTCGGACAAATTACATTTTTTAAGGACTGATGGTACTGCTGTAGCAGGCCTGAAATCTAAAGCTGTCATAACACTGGCAGTAAGGAGTAAGTAAAAGCTGTGATTTATATTGGCTACACTAGTGTGTGTGTGTGTAGCTCATGCCTGTATGTACTTCAGGCGAGAAGTGATATCACTTGAGGAGAGTGGGGCTTGGTGTTTGGGTGAGCACTGACTGTAAGCACTCAGGTATGTATTGCTTTAGAAAACAGTTCTAGCTTACTCATATCTGCTTCTTTTTGTAGCCTCTTAATAGTATAGGTTTTTTTGTCCAACTTTTAAACAATAGTTGAAGGTTTTATGCTCTGTCTTGTGTTCAGTTTTGTATGAAAGTACTTGTCTTTGTAGTGTGTTTAAGAAACATATTCAAAAACATGGAATTTGACCAGAATTTTAAGCTAAAAGTTTTATTGCAATACTTTTATTTTAGCAAAATTTAATGTATTTTTTGCTTGATATCTGGGGATGACCTGCAGCTCTATACTGAGGTAACTTCATGCATAAAATGATGTGTTTGTAACTATATAACTACACTTTAACAATGCAAGTTTTTACATTACAGGGTACATTTTCATTTTTTTTTAAATTGAATCTAATCTACTTTAAAAAAATCTACTATGTTTATAAGTCAAACTGCTTTTTTAGTTGGAAGAATATTCAGTACTTCGCTTACTGTAAAAAGTATTAAACTTTAATTGTTTTAACAACTTGTGCTGGGCAAGTAAAGATTACTTTTTGAGGATCTGGCACAAAATCAAGAATTATCTTAAATTTAGGTTAAAAACACAGGGAAAAACAGTGTTGTGGGTCTTCAAAGACAGGGCTCTGAACAAGATAAAAGTAAAATCTTAGACACATTTGTGTTCTGGTGTGATATGTTTCATCATTCCCTGTTGTTAGCATTAGTGTGTTTCATCATTCCCTGTTGTTAGCATTAGTGGAGCTCCAGGAGGCAGCCTGAGCTGATCTGTGTTTGCTGATGGCAGCAGGGGCACGAGAAATCAGAGAACTCTTCTGCTCAGGTTTTCTGGACCCCTCATTAGGCCTAAAGCTCTCCTTCATCAGAGCTTTCACCTAATAAAGTGGAATTTTTCAGGGTTAAGATTAGTATCTAGATCATAGTTTTTCAAAACATTTACACTTATATATGTCAGCTTTGCTAATTCCTTGAAGCAAATCTGATGATTCTGTATCAGGCTTTTTTAATATGTCCTCAACTCTGCCTTAAGTTATATCTCTTCATGCTGTTTTTTGGTATTTTATGCTGATTCACAGTTGTGAGGTATTTTTTTAATTGTTCTGGAGATTTATACTATATGCTGTTTTGGATAAAATAAAAAGCTGAGCATGGAGGGATATAGAGACAAATAAGGAGAAAAAGAAGAAAAAATAGGGGATAAGGAAAGCAGCTCATGTCTGGTATTTATGTGGTAATTATTAAATATAGCAATTCTGTTATTGAAATGATGCATATTCTAGTTAAATGGTTACAACAGGGACAGGACAAAGGAAAGATTTTCTTTGATTGGCCAGTATTTCCTAATTCTTTAAATTTGGTAGTGGTTTCTTTGTTTTTCAAGCAAGATTGTTTTTTAATAAGTACACCACTATTCTCTGAAGTGAATGTGCATTGTACAAAAGTGTGCATTGTGAGTGTGCATTGTGTCTGTCTTGATCAGACTAAAGCATTTGGTGTTTTTCAGTGTGTCTCAGCTGAAAAGCATGCT